GTTGTAAAAAAAAAAAAAAAAAAAACCCCCAAAGCCCCCCCCTTCCCCCCCCCCCCCCCCCCCCCCCCTCCCCCGCCCAAAACATAAAGGCTTGCTGGCGGAGGCCAAGTCCCTGGGCATCACCCCGGACCTGGTGGCCTACACGGCGGCGGTGACCGCGTGCGCGGACGCCAACCAGCGCGACAAGGCCACGTTCCTCCTCAAGGAGATGCTCTCGGCCGGCATACGCCCCGACGCCGCGGCGTTCACATCGCTCATCGCCGCCCTGGGCCACGACGGGCAGTGGACCCAGGCCGTCGAGATCCTGGAGTCGATGCCCAAGATGGGGGCTCCGCGGAACGCGATGGTGTACAACGCGCTCATCACATCGTGGGCGAACGCTGAGGTTGCCAAGGGGGAGGAGGAAGGGGGGGCGTTGCTGCTGGGCGGTGCGTCGGGGGTGGGGGCTGGCGCCGCCACCGGTGGGCTTTGATGGATTTTTTTTTATTTTTTTTTACTACACAATTAATAGGAAGACTGACTGCCGTTAGAGGTGATGTGTACCACAGCAGTCGAAGAGTTTTTTTTATTGATTTACACACACAATTATAGAAAGACTGCCCTTCGAGGTAAAGCATAACAGCAGTCGAAGAAGACTCTTTGTATGTGGCCTATGCATAGCAAGGATTGACTCGAAGGTTACTGTTGCATCGGAGGGACGGTGGCGTTGTATCGCGCGCATCGGGACAGCAGGGTATGTGTATGTAGCTCGGGTAGGATTTGAGGGGCTGGGACATTTGTTAGAGCAGGTTATTACAGAGTTGTTGGTATGGCTGGTAGGGAGTGTGAGGTTGCAGCTATTTACGCGGGTTAGGATGTAAGAGGGGGCGGAACGAGATGCAGAGGGTGCCAAGTCTGAGGTGGAGAGGGTCCCGGCAGCACAGCAGTCGGCGGATACATCCGTCGGCGAGCCAACAGGCGAAGGTCCAGTTGCTCCTCCCTGGTGGGACTCTTATCGGCATTGGTGGGGTCCATCTGTCCTCTTGCAGTGGGACACAGCAGCGCTGGTGCGGCACCAGTGCTACTGTTTTCCACTGCACGTGGCCATGTTGACCCCGCCAATGCAGATAAAGAGTCCTACTGGGAAGGAGCAACTGGACCTTGGCCTCCTGGCTCGCTGACGGATTTATCTGCTGACTGCTGCGCTGCCCGAAGCCTCTCCACCTCAGACTTGGCAGCCTCTGCAGCTCGTTCCGCCTCCTCTTACATCCCCACCCGCGTATGTAGCTGCAACCTCATCCTCTGTACCAGCCATATGTATCAAACTCTAACGTACGGCTGTCCCAGCCCCTTGAAATGCGAGCCCAACCTAGTTTATTTACGTGCCCTGCTGTCCCGGCCCCCGTCCCACCTATGATGCAATACCCACGACTGACTGCTGTCCCTGCTTGGTTGAATGAACACTCTCGGAGAGTCGCGCATGCCGCTCCCTTTGCCCGACTCACCCGGCACAGTTCCTGCTGCTGCTTCTGTGTTTGATCCGTGGAGTAGAGTAGCCTCCTCCATGACGCTCTCCCAGATCATGACCTTTAGAAGCTGTTTCCGTTTTTCGCCGCTTAAGGACTGACGTCATGTCATTGGTCAAGCGGTTAGTGCACCACTTGTTTTTCTGTTTCACCTTTTTTTTTTTTTTCAGAGTGATGCGCTACATAGCGTTTGCACGGGCGATCGGTCAACAAGATCGGGGGTAGTATTTAAGTGATTGTACGCATGTCGTATGCTTTTCACAATGATTCGACTATTATTGCCTAGCCGTGGAATAGGGGCGTTGTTGGAGTCGACGCAGCGACGAAGGGTCTAAACGACCGGCCGAATCTGAGAATTGTGACTCGCTTTGTTCCCGAACCCTCCTCTTTCGACGATGAAACGGTTCCCCTGCTGACAGGTGCTGCGGGCGACGACAACGCCAGCGCGGCGCAATCAAGAAGTATTGCGGCGCAACCAAGCAGCGCGGAAGAAGTAGGAGCGCAGCAGCCTCCCCTGGCAGGTTTCAATACCAATTTATCTTCTGACCAGCAAGCGGACTCTCGGTAGCCACGGGCAAGGCTGATTCTCGGGTAAGTTTTTTTTTGTCTTGTACAAATGATTTATTTTATGGTTTTGTCTTGTTTGTTTGTGTCTGTCGGCGTGTCATAAAAACGACAAGCCGATTTCGTTTTTTTTTTTCTCGTCTCTTTTTTTTATTTTGGTTTTTGCTCTTCTTACTTGATAACAATTCGCCAATCTCGGGATTCTCCTTCTTGCTTGTATCAAAGCAAAGTGATCTCCGTAGCATGCGTACCTTTGTTTCGGAGCGTTCGTATTTGTTTCAGAGCACGCGTCTTTGTTTCGGAACGTTCGTCTTGATTTCGGAGCATGCGTCTTTGTTTCAGAGCGTTCGTCTTTTTTTGGGAGAATTCGTCTTTGTTTCGGTGGCATTGGTAGCAGTGTACTGTGTTGTCGTAGCGTACTCCGTGTTTCGTGCATTTCAAAAGGAACGTGTGCACATGGGGACGTGAAAAAAAAACTCAAGTGTGAAACACACCAGCATCGCAAGTACGAAGGCAACACAACAGGCAGCGATGATGTGGTCGCTAGAGATGATACCCCGGCCGCTGCACCGATTTTTTGTAGCCGGCGTTTCCTCCCTTGGCATGTCGTTGTGTCGAGCAGACTATCGATCACGGATGTTCAAGTATATTAGGGAACAGGCATCTTTTCTTTAGAACTTCTCCGCGAAGCCTTGACTAGATTCTCAATGTCTGATTTGATTTTTTATTCGATGGCTGATTTATTTTTTTTCCTCCTCCTCCGTTGCTGCTTTTTTTGTCAACCCGAAAAAAAAAATCGAACAGGCGGGGATGTGCTTGTGCGGACGTCCCGATGTCGCTGGCGAGGATGTACTAGAAGAGGGGCAGGAATGAGACACTTCTTGCTGGGAAACAGCATCGGCCGTGAGGTGTAACGGCCGGCGTGGTGCCCGATGCTGGTGGTGGTGATATTGGTGGACGATGTTGGTGGAGGGGCCAACGTGTTTGTTCGTGTAGTGCAGCGAAAGGGTCTGGTCTCGCTCGTGATGCCGGGGCCATCGGAAGCTGCTGCTGTTGGCAGACTTTCTCTTCTTCTCCTTGTTGTCTTGTTGTCGGCCACGAAGAGGTGGTGACGTGGAAGGAGCTGCAGAAACGCTAGTAGGGGACGCTGGTTTCCAGCTACATTTAGATTCACGGCCACTAACGAGTTCAACCAGGTGTAGGTCAGGTTTACGATACGTAAAGTACTTCTATTTAGTTGTGTGGAGTGGAGGTATTAGACTACACCTCTCCGATGAGGTTTCCCTGTATTTGGGCGCTGGCAGAGCTTGTCGTATCACGCACATCAACCCCTCCAGCTCCCCCCCCCCCCCCCCCCCGCCC